TTAGACATCGATCCGTTGCTCATCGCGTCTAGTGTGCAGTAGGCATAAGCGCGCGGACAAGTTGTTTACTACAAGCGGTAATGCTGGATTCACACTGCATCCGATTTTCGTCGTACGACGAAAATACCAATCAGAAAACAGGATTCCGATAATACGAAGCAAAATTCATCGGAATCCTGTTTTCTGATTGGTTGCAGACCGTCGTATGACGAAAATCGGATGCAGTGTGAATCCAGCATAATGGTTATGCGCGATAAATGAAAATAACTGCCTGCACTGGGCGATCATATCTCGTTGTGCGCTTGCATTTGGTGGTAAGCTGGATGGATACGCGTTTAAGTGGCGGTACAATGAAACTTTTAAGATAAAATTTTAAACTTCAAGTCCTAAGTCATAAGAAATTTATCAATTACAATCGAATGTAAGGAAAATAATCGACCATTGGTTAATTTCTTACTTAGGACTTAAAAGCTTAAGTTTTATACTTTTAAGTCCCAAGCCGTAAGAAATTAACCAATCATGGCTTTAAAGAATCGTTGTAGACACTACTTAATTTAGCGATATTTAGAAATTAATATCTTATTAACTACTGTGAAAATTTCAAAATAGAGGACCTTACAACTCAACATAATCCGCTCTATCTGCACACGAGTTTTCCTAAATTTTCTAGGATACCCTATATATACCGGGTGTCCGGTGAGATTTTTGCCAAACGCTTTTTGTAGATGGAGCGGACTAAACTGATTGTGAGTCGAAAAGTCCTCTACCATTTTGCAATTTTCGCAATGGTTAACGAGATATTAATTACTAAAAATTGCCGAAAATATATTGGTCTTCAATAATTTTTTACTCAAATACTATCAACTTTACAGAAACAGCAAGCGACAAAAGTTGCTTATTTTCTTCTCACAAAGTTCTGAGAATTTTTTAAGAATTTTTTAATACCGTATTTTCTCATGCTGGTAAAAAAATAGTTGCCAGTAAGAAAATGTAGTATTAAAAAGTTGATTAAAAATTCTGAAAAAATTCTCAGAACTTTGTGAGAAGAAAATAAGCAACTTTTGTCGCTTGCTGTTTCTGTAAAGTTGATAGTATTTGAGTAAAAAATTATTGAAGACCAATATATTTTCGGCAATTTTTAGTAATTAATATCTCGTTAACCATTGCGAAAATTGTAAAATAGTAAAAGACTTTTTGATTCAGTTTAGTCCGTTCTATCTACAAAAAGCGTTTGGTCAAAGTCTCGCGGAACACCCTGTATACTTATATGTATACCCGTACGTGCGCACGCACGTATGCACAGGGTATACCCGGTAATGATTGCATAATTTCTCGTGGGCAAATAAAACAGATTGAACTAAATTGAAATCCTACATTTTGCATTTTTCGCAATAGTTAGATATTAATTGCTAAAGATCGCCAAATGTGTAGTGCCTACCGACAAGCGCGCTACGAGATACAATCACTCAACGCGGGAAGATATTTTCTTTCATCGTTCATGCGTTGCTCTTACCACTTGTAGAAAACAACTCCTTGTACGCCTAGCAACGCCTATGATGGTAAATGGTCATATATTGCTACGGATTTGTATTTGGCGATAAGCCAATTTGGAGATCTTTAGGAATTAATTTCTCGTCAACTATTGCAAAAATTACAAAATGGTACAGAACTTTTCAACTCAGTTTAGTTTGCTCTCTCTTCCCAACAGAGATTATGTAGTCGCTGAACACTCTGTATGTAACATTATTTACATGTGTATATATATATATATTTAAAGTCTTAGATTATATAGTATATACATTATATGTATGTAAAACGTATAGTCAGAGCCTAAAAGGTTGCAATACTTTTTTTAAAATGAGTTTCAGAATACAGCCTACTCACCGAGCGATTGGTCCTCATTTGTCGATCCACGAATAAGAACCAATCGCTCGCTGAGCAAGCTGCATTCCGATACCCATTTAAAAAAGTGTTGCAACTTGCAACCTTTTAGGCCCTGACTATACACGAGTGCGTACATATATTCGACGAGTCGCGCTTTGTGTGTAATTACAATCGAATTTCGATTGTATGTATAATTGTATATGCGCGTGCGCCCGTTGCTATTAGAGCAACATTGTGTGAATTATACTATATACTGCTGTTTGTTTAAAGTACAGAATTCATCCTAAAACACACAACTATGTTTTCACATCACAATGCTTATGGTGCCGCTCTTACAATGAACAATATTAATACAAGTGACATTTTTCGTCATTTTTCAGTTTTTCATATCAAGAATAATTCAATTATAACAACAATTGAATTAAGTATCTTGGATAAGTTTTTATCTACAAAGAAAATAATTTAAACACAATGCTTTCATTATGTCCAAATTATCTTCAAATTTTATAGCTATATATATATATATATATATTGTGTTAAATATATATATACTTAAAAATACATTACAAGTTATATGTATATGTACACGCACGCACAAATTTTTATCATATACATATATTTCTTTTAATTGTAATTTTTCAGAAATCAGCTTTATCAATCTCTTCGGAGACGAAATGAATTGGTATTCGAAAGATATTCCCATATACTCAATCTTACGCGAAAGAACCTCAATTTATCTTCGACGATCATAGATCATCGAATAAATTTTTAAAGCTCCTAAATGGTCCACAGCCATATTGAATCGTAACGTCAAAACCGAGAAATGACACTTTAATTTTTGTTACACGCCATTTGTAAATAAACAATTTGGATAAAATAAAATGACGAGATCGCTTTAAAACATTTGTAAAAATGGAAAACTATGCTTATCCCCCCTGACAATTAGCAAATAATCATAAAAAGTGAAAAAAGCAAAGTGTGTAAGTGAAAATAGACTAGGATATGTATGCACATTGAATAAAAGCACTTCACGTGCTTTTTATTATTTTATACGATTATTTACTGACTGTCAGGGGGGATAAGGATAGTTTTCGTTTTTTACAAATGTTTTAAAGCATTCTCATCATTTCATTTTATCTAAATTGTTTTTATTTACAAATGGCACGTAATAAAAATTAACGTGTCATTTCTTGTTTCTGACGCTTCTGATTCAATATAATTGTGATGACTACTCAATAACCTTAATAAAGGCCCTTATTCTGTAACTTTTAACAACAATGTGAATGTTGCTCCATTGTCGTTACGCATAGTTTATTTTACCATGTACATATGTATAAAATCTACGCAATAATGTAACAACATTACCACTATCATTGAGAATTATAGAATAGGGGTAAAAAAAATGTGTGTGTGTGTGTATTACTGAACTTGTCTCGCAGCACATTTACATGTGGCTGCCCAGCGCGCAGAAACTGCGTTATATGTAAGAGCGACGTGAGCACAATCGCAGAATTTTGTTCACCTTTTCGCTTTAGTATTTACAAGAATAATATGCGTACTTTCGGTAATACCAGTCACTGATTCAAGTACGCATGTGCGTGCAAGTATCGTACTGCAAATGCGTCGTTCTGAACCTCGGTCGCTTTTACACACACCTTGGCGATACGTTGAATCATTAACATATAGTACTGGACGGAGCATAGCATTGAAGTTATTTTGACAGATCTAGAAAAAGATAGAACGATGTTTGGGGGTAATAGCAAATCATGTCTTCCCTCTCCTGAAACAATTCGATCAATAGGACAATAGTAGAAAGTTTCGTGCCCAAACATTTACCTTACTCTTTCTAGACCTGTCAAGACGAAAGATCAAAGAGATTTCGCTGTACGCTCCGTCCAATACTATACATATGTCAATGCGTTGAACAGCAGCTGATACATCAGCAATAGTTAGGCTCGCGTTTATATAACGTTAGCTTCAATGCAAATGACAGATGACTTATCTAGATTAGATGACCTCTCACAACTGTCTTGTTTTTGCCAAAAAGGATTTAATCCTCTTAGTTTTTGTCTTCCTCTTGTTAACGTTGTCAATTGACCTCTGTTACACGGCATGCTTAATCGGATTTAATAACATCTGTAGTTATGAAATTGGCCAATTATAGCTGTCTCTTGGAAGAATGGAACGACTGTGATTAGCCAGTTTCATAACTACGGATGTTATTAAACCCGATTAAGGGTGCCGTGTAAATGTAGTAATAAACACGAATCTATGTTGGAAAATACATTCTTTCTCCTCATAAAGAATTCGTTCTAGCGGCAGATAGGAGAAATACAGCAAATAGAAAATTGTGGGAGAAAGATACAATTATACATACAATTGTCCGGATATTCTTGCGGACAAATCTCTAGTAACGAAACGCGTACTATTGTGGAATTGCTGTTTCTTTTTCTAAAGGTATACATTTTTATGAGCCGTTAAAAACTGGCTGTTTCAGCGATAAAAAGAATCAACATCGAATATTTTGATATTAATTTTGATCATGTTATCATTCTTTTTGTCGCTGAAATGATAGATTTGTGCGATTTGTGAAAATGTATTTCTAAAATATACTTCTACAATGAGTTGCAAATACCCTATCGCCAATCGCAATGCTTCGCAACAGCTAATCGGAAGCATCAATAATTATTAGGTGCTTTCCATTTGATAACACAAGCTAAGTCGACACAAGCGTCGTTCTATCATCTTTATTACTTACTAAATGTAAAGAAAGATGAAATGATGCTTGTATTGACTTGTGTCACTAAATGGAAAGCACACATTATTGATATTTGTAACTCAAGAGTCTTAACACTTTTAACAGGCTATTTTCCATTTACAAGACACAAATATCGTTCTATCCTTTTTGATATTCAATGAATAACGAAGGTAAAACGACACTTGTATTAATTGTATTTTGTAAAAGGAAAGCAGCCACAGTAAAGAAACCTTTCTTGCATCTCTACATTTGATATACACTGAAAATATAGTATTTTTCTCAACAAACGTTTATGGAAATACATACGATTTACTATCGTACAAGCTTTCAATTTACAATCTCATTCTCATTTCTCCCTTTTTTTCCTCTCCCTCTTTCCCCCCTCCTCCCTCATGCTAATAATTTCACTCACATCTTTTTCATTCATCATCGTATCAAGATTAAGTTCCACGCACACGGATATATACATAACAGAGAGATCGCCTTCTCTTCTATATTGAAAATACAGCAAAACTCTTTCAATAGTTTATCGTTCTATTGGCTCATTTTTCTTCCTTGCATAAAAGAAACATTATTTCACTTCGTATAAGACAAACATTCATTGGGTAGAAAGCGAACGTAGAAAGACTATATATATATATATATATATCTCGGAAAGTCACCATACTGCAAATCACAGACCGCGACAATTATAGGTCTGTTTTTTATTCCTGTACTAGACTGCACTAAAACTCTCTTTCTCGCTTTCGCCAAACATAGCTACCTCACTTTTAAGTTCTAAAAGTGTATACCAGTTGAGCGACAGAAAACAGATCTTATATATTGTCTTATTCGGATGGCCTTTGACCCCAGCGCGATTTTGTCCTCGGTAATCTAGTGGGTGACGACGAGCTACTACTGTCGCTCAATTTCCGTTTGACGTTCAACACAATACCACTTTTGGATGAAATTTTTGAGTGAGATGTCATTTTAGAGACGTCTATTGTCGGCGGAGTCGATGGAAAAATGGGAAAATCTTCATCTTCGAGACCAGGTGGCTTCGGCTGCTCGGAAGTGAAATTCTTCTTGAAAGAATCCGAAGGACTTGGCTTGTACGATTTATTCGCCTCCAATGCAGGCTCCGCGGAAAGCGGGAGTGACGACAGAACCTGAGGCGATATCGGTACGTCACTTACGGAACCAACAGGCGGCGGCGTTAAAACGAGCGATGATGATGTTGACGATGACGACGATGACGAGGAAGAAGAAGACGGTGGCAGCGCTGGTACTACAGATTGCGCTACCGTCACTGCCGCGACTGCAGCCAATTCTTCTTCGGCTTTTCGGATCAGATCCAGATCGCTCAAAGTACTCAATGTACTCTTGCTCTCCTTGGGAACTTCTAACGACGCTTTCTCTGATTGGCTAATCTTGGAAGAGGGCGAAGGCGAATATCTCTCCGGGTTTTGATAAAGCGCGGGTAAAAATGACGCGCCAGGCTTAGATGGAAGATAAGGATCCACTTTAGACGATTCCTGCCGCTTGACGTTCGCCAGAATCTCTTGTAAATTCGGCGGTATAGTAATGTCCGAGACTTTATCGAGGATAGGCTGCGCGAATTTGGAAATAGGTGGCGGAGGCGTGAAAGATCGCGCGTTTGATGGACTGTAAGCTTCCTCGCAAGTGTCGGTGGGCGGATCTAGTCCTAAACCCTGAAACAATTGTAGATGAAGATGTACAGATATATATAAGAGAGATCAACGAAGGCAGAAATTCTCACGATTGATCAATGACGCGCGTGATTAATGGAAACAAACGAGCGTATTTTCAAAAATCCATCTATATTTTACCAATTAGAAATTATTAGACAGATAATAGAGAAATTAACAGATAAATCCATTACAGCTTTAATAGAAAACTTATTGAACGAATCTACTACTTTTACATTCCATAAATGTACTTAAAGATACCATTTAATAAGATTACGTCTATGGATAGAGCTACTACCAGATTTTTATTTCGGTGATCGAATGATTGACTTGGTTATTTGAAGATGCATATTTCTACGGTACAGACCATTAAAAAGATCAATTTGCGATATTATCCCTCACGACAATGTAAGTGTGCAGCTATTATATCAGAATTTCATATAAAAAATAGGAAAAATTTATTTATCTTTATTCTACATTATAGAAGTGTTCAACTACTCAATTCTCTTATATGCTGCTAAATGGTCAACTTTCTCACAATGTTTGATTAATGAGGCTTCTAATATCTACGATAAAAAACTCAAGTTCTTTCAAAGAGTAGGAATCTAGACCAACTTGTGAAATTAGATCGGGATGTATTGCAGTAGAGCTCAAAAAATCAATTTTATTTGTACAAGGTGAATAAAAAGATGTAGTAACACGATAATAAATTGAGGTTGCAAAAAATAAGCGGAGATTCTCACCGGCAAAGTAGGAGTTGCTTCGTCGAGAAACGACGAGCTAATGTTCTGTATCTGTTGCCTCTGTTCCTCAATTTGTTGCTTCTGCTCCTCGATCTGCCGATTCAACTCATCCATCTTTCTTTGTAACTCTGTGGAATTCTTGCTGGATGAAGATAAGATACCAGCGGTATTGTCAACAGTGGGCTGCAGATTATTTATATCGTCGTCCATCTCACCAGGACTATATGGCTCATCTCCGTCATCGTCCAACGTGACTTTACCGGGTGATGAGGTCAGGTCAATCTTTGATGATAATTCCGGCACAATCTTGCATATCGTTGCAGTATCTATGACGCCGCGCGACATACCTATGTGTGCTTTGTTCAAAGATTCCAGAGTCATTTGTGTTACTGCCGCCGGCGCTTTCTCTTTTGTCGAGTCTAATGTGGTCGCTTTGTATAACATGGGAGATGAAGAAGGTGACGGCGACAAGGTCTTCTCCTTTGGCACGCTGATCAACGGCGGAGTATAACTTCTATCGGACGTCTTGGACGTTTTCGAAGGTATTGTCGACACAACTGACAATCGCTTTTTCTTGTTGCGAACTATAATGCCGAGAAGTAGATGTGGTCGGTGCTCCTCAAATCCAGGACCGTTAAGCGGCATTAGAACTGGCGGTATCGTACTCTGATTCGAGAATGGCATTATATAAAAGTCCTTGATATTTTTGGAAACATTACCCACAACGCCCAAACGGCTTCTACTGTTCAGATAACTATACAGAGTTATGTAGGGAATCTTCTCTTCGTCGTTCGCAGCTGTTAATCGAATGATTAGAATCTCTTTCGAGCCGCTTCTTTTCATCTTTGAGATATAATCCCAAACGGTCTCATGACTGATCCTACCGACAACGTCGACAGTATCTGGTAAATCATCGATAAGATCCTTGGCGTTACCACTTACTTCTTGCGCGGTTATAAAGAATTTAGCAACATCGACCATATTAACAAAACCGCGCCAAACGGTCTGCCAACTGCCCTTCGCTGATGTTTCCTTGTCCGTCATCTGCTCTTTGTCTCTTTCGGATTCCTCATTGATATCAGGCGTCTTAATCGTAACAGTAGAGCTAGGTTCTCTGTCTGATATATCGGAATCGTTCCCATCAATCGTATTTGTAGTCGCCTCATCTTCTATGTGCCGCCAGAGGCGGTCTTCTATCAATTTTTCCACAGGTGATGGGGACATCTCCTTCTTCTTCTCTGTTTCTCTTTTACGTTCCTCTTCCCGTTTATCAATGTCCTTAGATTCTCTACTACCGCTACGATTTCTTGAATGATTGTCATTACTCTTGTGTCTGTCCTTTTCTCTCTGCCGCTCTCTCTCCCTGCTTTCCTTTCTACTCACCTTGTCTCGATCTTTGTTCCGATCTCGATCTTTATCCTTTTCTCGCTCTCTGTCATGCTTGCTCTCTTTATTCCTGTTTGATTTTCGCTCCTTGCTCTTGTCTCGCGTCTTGCTACGATCTCGATCCCGATTATGACGATGCCGACTGTGACTTCTCTCCCGATCCTTACTCTTAGACTTTGCACTGTCGCGATTTCTTCCTCTCTCCTTATCCTTTTTCCTTCGATCATCTGTGTTCTTGGATTTTTTTGTTTCCATTTGCGCCGTTAGTTTATCCTCCTTATCCTTATTCTTATCCTTCAAATCGTCAACTGTGGAACTTATATTATCGCCGTTATTTAATGCAGAAACGATATCCTGCACCGGTGTTTTAGGATCAACGTGATCGATTCCACCATCGTTCTCGATTATCTGTTCACCCTTGTGAGTCTTAACAACGATCGACTTGGCCTGGGCCATCAAATCAAGTTCGTTCTTCTTTATCATTTCCAGCTGATGTTTGGTCTCCTTCTCGCGCCACTCGGCTAATTCCTGACTGGCCATCTCATCCGGACTTAATCGCACCACCGCATCCGGCGTTAATGAGCGATCTGCAATCTTTCTAAACAATGTCAGATTCTTGGTATCCTTTATGTTAAATACTAGACTCCTGTATTTCGCTTTATATTTAGAACCAGTATCCTTGAAATACTTGTACATCTCAAATTCTATGTTAAAAGCCAAGTCGGCAATTTCCTCGTCAGTTAGTTTCAGATCTTTAGTTTCTTTTATACGGCTGGATAGTAATTCTGTCAGCGTTTTTCGGATATTCACTCGTATGGGTTCCGTTTCTGGCTTTTTTACCGGTGTTAACTTAATTTGTTGTTTCGATTGAGACGGTGATGACTTTGCTTCTTGCTTCTTAATCGGCGTTTGCTTCGGCGAACCTGCTGATTGAATTTTCAATTGCGTCTGTGTGACGTTCTTTGATGTTTTCAATGTTACAGGGTTCTTTCCTGGCGTCGTGGTGATTATCGTCTGTTTCAATTGTGCCGATTTATTGCCCGACGATACTTGTTGTATAGCGGGAATTATTGTAATTTTCTTGTTGGATGTTAAAACAGTTTGTTTTGATCCAGCTACCTTGGTATAGATTGTCTTTGGCATATTTTGCACCTTAACCGGAGATATCTGCGTAATTTTTGCCTGAAAACAATTCCCATGTCTTTCCGTTAACTTAAAATATATTTTAAAGAAATTTCTAAATAATCTAAAAATTCTAAATATTTTATATTATTTTTTTACCTATACTTTTGTATAAGTAAAAATACAAGTTACTACGTAAAAAAAAATTCAGAATTTATCTGAGAGTACTCATTAAACTGAATAAAAAATATCTAATAATGTATAAATAAATAATGTATGAACGTAGTAAGAAAATCAACTCTGAGTTAGAAGTCAAGAATTTTATAAGTCGATGCTTTTATTTGTGGCATCTTACAGGAAAACAAAAATAGCTGCAAATTTTTATGCAACGCTGATGGAAATCATTTGATTTGGAAACTTTTTCGCATAAGTGGTATCTTCATTGGTTGTATTCAGTAGAGAAAGCTGATTAGAGATAACTTGGTAATTCTTTAATATGATTGGTTCATGCTTTTAGTTCTTTGCTGGATCTAAGTGTGTAGGAACCAATTACATTAAAGAATCACTAAGTGCTCACTGATCAGTTTTCTCTGTTGAATACAACCAATTACCGGCAGTGAGATCTCCGGCTCCTGAGCCTTCAGGATTTGGCAGGATACTAGTTAAAAGGTGGCAACCGTAAATACAGTCCCAAAATCTCTGCATTTCCTTTTAAGAACGATTTTTTTTTAAACATATTGTATTCTAACACGAAAAGCTTAATACAATAATGTCGAGGCTATAGTAATTTTTTAAATTATAAGCAATTAAAATTCATAGAACTAACATTTTGTCCGCTTAAGCATGACGATATAACAAGTGCTCTTGCCCTTTAACAACGTCTAAAGTCCTATGCACAAGGAAGAAATATTAAGAATAGGAATAAATTAAGATTTCAACTTATCAGAAACCGTGTATTCCGATGTAACTGAATTTTGATAGGTTAAACTCATAATACTTATTCCTGTTTCTAATATTTCTTCCATTGTAGGCAGCCTTTAATAGCGCTGAATGAAAAAACTAGTGCAACACTGAGTGCAATTATAATACAAATTAATTCGTATATTCGTATTTATTCATATTTTTAATAAATAATTTAACTCTTTTAATTACATTCCATGTTGTCATGATAATTTCATAATCTTGAAACGATTAAATTATTAACACTGAAAATATGTAAATCGATTTATACTTAATTCCACCAGTGTTGCACTAATTTTTGCAGTGGAAAAACGCTATAAGTTATCATACAAAGATACATTGATATTTTAAATAAAAAGTTATTTCTAAAATTTTTACCATATACAAGGCAAATGAACACGATTATGAATTTATTTTGAGACCTGACACATATGTTGTAACTGAATTGATATTTTGTAATATTATATTCCGATATTATACATAGTAATCACAAATAGATCCTGTATAGAAACAGAAATAGTTTCTTAATAAAAATATTGCATATTTACGTTAATCTTTCATTAAACTCACCCCCCCCCCTTTTCAATTCGAAGTAGCACTTGTCACCATGCATGAGCGCGCGAAATTTCACCTGTAATTTATAAATTTTCTAATAATTTAATATAGCCGCTACTTTTTCTAATAATTTATTATAGCCGCAACATTTTTGTGTATTAGAATTTTCATCTTGCAATTAGAATATTCTAAAGAATCCAATCATAAAAAGAAATAGATTTTGAAGCATCCTATGTATATAAAGTGCATTCTGTTATTTCTTAGATTAGATTAACAATTGATATTATTAAATTCAATCTGAATAATTAAGTAAGTGTATAATCACTAAAACAAATGACTAACTTATATTTTTGCCTCAAGTAAAATAATAAGACAATTCTTTGTTATAAAATGAACATATGGAAATAAAAGCAATATATAAAATATTTTTCTTAAATATCAGAAAATATATAAGATAATTCCGTTTTCACGTTTTTATTTATCGCATGTAATAATTATGTAGAAGCAAACAAATAAATTGTTTAACAAACATGAAAAAATCGCTTCTAATCTGAGAATCAATCTTTCAATATGCTCACTTAAACAATTCTTACTGAATATGTACTGTTTGTCTTTTACGTCTTGATCTTTTCCATGACATCATGTATATAAATTTTAATTTAATTTATATATATATTGTTAGATTTATTTTATTTAACACATACAGGTTTTCCAGATGTTTGGATCTGCGTGACGAGCTTTCCGCCTATTTGAAGTGTATTGATGTTATTAGCCTCTACTATTTCAAAAGTTGGATTCTCTTTCAACCATGTTCGCAAACTGGATCTGAGAGGAGCATCTGCGCCTAAAATAATAATATCATGTATGTCACACACGTACATAGGCAAGCGCGCAAACACATACAGAATAATCTATTATAATTTTCCACGCAATTGTTTCGTAAACTATTCGTTTGAAAAAAGATTTCAAGTAATATTTATTTCGAACAGAATATTTTTTGATGTATACAATTTTTTCTAGGTGAAGCTATTCCCAAGTTTTGAAGTTTCCCAAGTTTTTTTTTGGAACAGTATCTTTTTTCAACTTAAAATGGTTAGGCTACGTCGAGAAAGTTCATTGACCTATGATATAAGGCTTCCAAGGTCATTCGAGGTCACTTAATTGTTTAAAATTTTAAAGTCTTTTATTTTCTTATCAATGAACTTCAAAATCTCTTGAAGACGTTCCACTTGTCACCAAAAAAAAGGATGTGTTTCCAGCATGCTGGTGCTCCTCATAATGACCACCGAGTTCGAGAAATCCTCAATAAAATGTTTCTCGATTGATTAGAAAGAAGTTACCCTATACCGCGTCCATGGAGAGACCGACCACGATCCACACATTTTGTGGATCAAATTGGAGGACTCGAGCGCGTTATATTTAGTTCCGCATGCATTATTGTCGTTGGGCTGCCCGAACGTTCTGTGGATGTGGTATAGTAATTTGTAGGCAGGCAATCATGATATCTAGACCCTCATTATCAGAAATGGTGAGTTCTTGTTGATACACTTAATTTTTTATAAAGTCCCACAAAAAAACTCTACAGTACAACTACAGTTGTCAAATCCGAGAATTTGTTGTTAGTAAGAAGAGTATCATACTTTCTCTTTCTATCCTGACTAAAATAATATTCTTGAATTTGGTAGTCGTTATGAGAAGTACTATCATGCTGTATTCTAATGACAAGTGGAACATCTTTCAGGAGATTTTGAAGTTCACTGATCAGAAAATAAAAGGCTTGAACGATCGTAAATGACCTTGAATGATTTTGGAAGACCAACATATCTATCATAGATTAATAAACTCGAAATAGGCTTTACGCACTAACTAAAAAAAAGATGTTCATTTTAAAAAGTAAACATCACCTTGAAATCTCAGAGACATCTCTACCTGGACATAATGTGTATCCATAAGATGTCTCCCACGAAATAGAGCAAGGACTATGGCACACAAAAAACTTAAGCAATAAAACGTAAGCAGTAAGTGAATTAGCCAATCATAGTAGAGACTACAAATGAGCTCGTAAAGTAAACAATAACAAATTCAACATGTTTATTTTCTTACTGCTTAAGTTTTTCTGTGTGCCATAATTTTAAATTTTACTTAAAACATTTTGCTTTCGAATAACAAACAGTTCGAGAGATAGTAGAAAAATTATAAACACCCTGTACGTGCACGCGTGCGTGCATGCATACGTAATGGAATCCATCTATTCTGAACAAACTCCCTTTTTATTTTCAATTTCTCTCTGAATTCCTACTATTATCTAATGATAAATATGCAAAATAAAATATACCTACAATCAATTTATAGAAACAAAGCAAGTGAAAAACAAAAGATATCGTGTTTGCTATAATTCCACGTGATTACATAAAAAATGAATAATAAAATAGCAACACATAAAAAATTAAATTTCTAAAAAAAAATTGATACAGAATAGAGGGATTTAAATATTTTTAATATTTAATGAATCATATATGAGTTATTTACCGGTAAGAACTTTACCAGTTTTTTTATCAAAGACTACTACTCTAGTCTCGTGTTTTGTCTTCATAGTTTCTGTCGTAGGTAATTTTGCAGACTTTATATTTGATCCAGATGGCACGGGTTTATCCTTAGTTAAAGTTTCCTGAGCATGTGCAAGAATACACGCATCTGAACAATAAATGCTAGAATTTCTGGCTTCTTTCTTACAAACAACACATTGCATTGTGCTGGAAGCTGAAGCAACACCATGGTCAATGGAAGAACTCGACGGAGATATTTCTTTCGGTAATACAGCTTGCGATAATGAATTTTCACCCATTGATTCGACTTTTGCTTTTTGTTTTCCGAGTAGTGATTGCAAATTCGATTTTATCTTTTCTTCTTCGGCTTTCTTTTTTAGACAATTCGGACAAACCCACTCAATGCCTTTCTCCTCCATTTGTTGACCTATTATACATTTGTATAAAATAGATATCGTATGACACAAATTAAAATAAATATTTTCTCTCGTCATATATACTTAAATTACTTACCCATAGCTTTACTGACATGTACACATTTTCCATGGAACCAATCTTCACAGACATCACAACATATCATAAATCGATTGTTATGTGGCCGTTTGCAGATACACCATAATCGATCTGGATCGTCTTCCGAATCTGAATTATCCTCCTCATCATCTTCGTCATCTTCCTCTTCTTCATTTACTACTTGTTCCGTTTTGAATTCATCCTTGTTATGTACTAATTGTTGAACTGATACCTGACTGTATGTTAAAACAATTATTAAATTTTAATCAAAAAGTATATAAGAATATAAGATCAATATAAACAAAGGAAGTTTTAGCTGTTTTCCGGCCAACATAGAAATAGTTCCATATACAAATTATGTATTATATTAAGGACTTTTTGTAAAGCAGACTCGAGTGATGTATCACTTATCTAGGGGAAACATCAGGAGAAACAAAAAACAATAAATCTAATGCTATCACATTTATTAATAAAATGTTGTTAAGGTACGACATCAAACATTTTGGGAATTAAGCAATAAGGACATTGTTTTGGTAAAACACTATTTAATATAACTTGGAGATTTTCTAGCGATCAATAAGCAACAAAGAGTCCAATATATGTTCGATATGCGAATAGTTCAGATATAAACGAGACTTTTTTGTGAATATAAATTAATGTTGATAGACATATTTACACTAGTCATTGAGATATTCGAACAAATACTATCGAGTGTCGTTGTGTCCTTACGCATTCATGTCTTTTTACATAAAACTATTTGTTATTGCATCCAAATTTTCAATTTATAATAATATAGTGTGCTTACGTAAGCTTCTGTACTTTCTTTGTAGGTTCGGGATTTGTCTGTGGCATCTCGATTTTTTCTTGCAACCGTTTACTTCTGGTGGCAGGTGCTTCGATAGGTGGTAACTTAATTACACGATTACCTCGAACGATTTGAATAGTCTCTTTATCGTCCTTCGAAGATTTTTTGCTTGTTTCTTTCGACACATTTGTTTGTGCCGTTGACGTTGTCTCTGCTGATTTAGAATCTTGTTCGGGTGATATTAATGTAGGCACAAGCATGCTACCCGATGCCAATGATTCTGGTATCACTCGTGGCTTGGGATCACCTAGTGTAGACTGTAAGCAAGAAAAAAATCCTATAAGAATAAAATCCTAATTACCTCATAAAACAATTATATTGTTGAATGTAGAGGGATCCAGGTTGGATCCCTCTACATTCAAAAATTAAAGGCAAGGACCAGCTAGCAAACATTGATTCAATGATATTCGAACCGAAGCTGGCGTTCGGTTTTATAGTTCGGTGTTATAGTTTAGATAGGGCAAAGATCAAGAACTACTTATGAGAAAGCATCTTTATGTCTGGAGGGAAAAAATATCTTAATTTCTGGAGGGAAAAAATAAAGTGTAGAAATAAGGCTCTACTAAAAGATTCGCCTAGTAGAAAATCTAATTAATAGCATAAGATTGCTAACGAAAAAATGACGCCAGGTTAGCAGTGCAATTGTTAAGGGGGCATAGCACCACCAACTATCACCAAGTATAAGTTTCTATTATACACTCAATAGGCGAGATCGAGATTAATTTCCACATCCTCAGCCGATATTTAGCATATACTTGACTAAGGTACCAGTTGCTGAATCCGGATTTTTTTCTCTTGGCACTCGAACAACCAAGACAACTGCAGATTAAGGAATTTTTTCTTTTGGCAGAAAGTGACCTTACCTTAATCTATAGTTAGGAATAAGGAGGCATAATATTCAATTTGATTGCCACAAGCAATTATTAAAAAAAAATTGCCCTTTAGATCTATTATTAAATTATTATTATCATCGTCGTCGTTATCGTCGTTATCATTGTTATTGTTATTATTATTATGAATTATTTCTACGAACATTTTGACTGTCAAGATAAGTTTGGTATTGCTTAATCCTTATGTCAATATCCTTTAGTTTAACGTTATGTCCAACGTACCCGGGTACCCACTATGGAATTTCGCATGCTACAGGTTGTAAATGGTTCTCTATACTTCTTATATATATCACTCAAGACCATCTCCAAAATTATTCTAGCAATAGCTTATCTAACGATCAACGTATTAAATAATTCTCCCTATTCTCTTTCTATAGAATAAGTAAAACAGGGTGCTGAAATCTTGTAAAAAAAAATTCCTTGAGAATTCTCTAGGTATTTTTGTTTAAAATTCCAGATAAGATTAGACTATTTTTTAATTCAAGTACGAAATAAATCAAAGTACAAGCAACGCAAATATATTAATGATTAGTAGAAAATAAAAATTCCACGAGACTATATTTATCATTTTCCACAATTGGAGCTGCAAAACTTACAGTATAGTATAAGAACAGCTCATTGCAATATATACATATGTAATACATAAAAATATATTTAATTTATAAACTATTATTTAAATACAAAACTAAGTATTTTTTTTTTAAATATAAGATAATAGTGTGGTATATTTAATTAATTTTTCTCACAATTTTAAATCTGATTAAAGCTTTATATGACATATGTATCATTCATATAAAACATTACATTTTAAGGTAACCCTACACGGTCAATAATACTGATCAGTAATATTAACCGGTTAAGTGGTAGGCTTTTTAAAACATTCCGTGCCAAAAGTGGTAGGCGTCAATTGTGAACTAAAATATACCAAAATTTGGCCCTAGGGGTTTTTTGGGTCGCTGATTTCATTTCGTATATAAAGAGCCGGACTGATTCGTTCCAGCGCGATATTTACAAATAAATGTAAAACATGTCCGAGTTCAAAAATCGCCATCAAATTTTACAAATTTGACGCCAAAATCGAGTTCAGAAGCCCAAAAAACAATAGTATACCAAATTTCAAGCAAATTCGTTGAATAATATAGAAGTTATTCAAGATGTGCATATATGCTACAATACCACTTTTGGCACGGATTCTTTTTGTGCATATATGCTACAATACCACTTAACCGGTTAAGCTGGCTCATTTTCAAAATTTTGAAAAAATAAGCAGAGTTCTAGTTGCCCCCCGAAGAATTTTAGAGTTCTCTATCAATTTTAGAAAGAGTTCCGTCGATTAAAGCGGTGAAAACACCATTTGAAGTTTCGAGGAGGCCAAGTTCACGATTCCGAAACTTTGAAGACTATAACTTCTTTACCGTTCATTTTAGCACTTTGACTCATATAGGACAATCGATATAACTTTGGGGAACAACCAGAACTCTAAAAAATGATCAATATTCTTGACAATATATTTCACTTTAATTTTACGTACAATATCTATTGCACTGTGACATATACTATGACATGGATCATAATACAGCGATATTGATGCTCGAGAATCAAAATCTAGATCACCGTCGGTATTCTACGTTAATCCATCAATATTAATCACAAACGATCAATAATATTTGTTAATAGTAACAGTATTATTGACCGTGTAGGATCACCTTTAAAATAACGTTATACAAATACACTTACATGTTCAGCTAAATCAACTCCAAGTTCCTCTTGTAGCAATAATGCTTCAGCAAGTAATTCTTCTTCATGTTTGCTAGCTTCCATTTCTAAAGTAGCCAATAAATGTTCTTCTCCTTCGATTCCAACTTAAACAAAATCACGAATCACGAATTGACTTTTGGTGGGACAAGAACAATTTTGCAGTGTGAATTATATTTCGTTACTTCGTGTAACTGTGCAAATTTACACACTCTTTTTTTCACGAGTTCATGTCCCGTAAAGATCCGAACAACGCTTAAGGGGAGATTCCTGAGATTAAATTTGAGATGAAAATCCTAATGCGAAAATGTCGAGGCTGCAACAATTTTTTAAATTATAAGTTAACTTTAAATGCTTATAAATAAAAAACCATTTTACTTTTATAGCCTCGATTATTATTTCTGGATTCTTTTGAACATTCTAAGATGAAAATCCTAATACAAAAATATCGAGGCTATAATAGTTTTCGAATTACACACTATCTTTAACCAATTATAATTCAAAAGTTATTATAGCCTCAACATTTTGGTATTAGAATTTTCGTCTCAAAATGATCTCAAGAATCTTCCCTAAGCGTTGTTCGGGTATTTACGGGACACCCTGTATACATATATATACAAAATTAAATTTCAACGGTAGAAATCAAAATTCGATATTCTAATATTAAAACTATAATTACCAACTCCTTACATCTGAAATGACGCGAATCAATATCAATAACAAAGCTGTTATCAATAGATATAAGAAATAATATTAATACGCATTTTTTATACGTACCTCATTATATAGGGTATGGAAAAAGTATCGGGACCCTGGAATATCTCGAGAAAAATAAGTTTTACAAAAAATATTTCAATTTAAAAATTGTAGGGTTTTAAGTATGGCATTACATGACAATGTGAGTGTGACCTTGAATAATGTTGTTAAGATCATATGTTGTAAAAATCACTTTGAAATGTTGAAATGAATCCCCCTACTATTAATTTAAATATATTTTATTTTTCGAGACAATCCAAGATCTCGGTACTTTTTCCGTATCCTATTTAAAAATTATATTTATAAAATTATATGAAATAAATAATTAAAAAGTAGAAAGAATGAAATAGTATGACAAAATAATATAAAAAACCAATTCCTTCCTCCATTCTTTATCATATTTATTAAAGCGAGAAAGAGAGAGAGGGGAAGGAGAAGCAGAAAGAAAATAGAGGGAATGGAAGGAAAGACAGAAAGGGAGGAAGAGGGGAAAAGATGTTTAAAAAAATGAATAACAATCCATACAAGATGAAGAAACTCTGAAGTAAGGTAAATTTAAATTATAGATCGGAGAATACATTTATCATTATAAAGAGAAAGATACGCGCACATATTTTTATTAGTAGAGAATATTTTGAAAATAAAAAACTTATTACTATTATACAACATAATTTAGAATATAGTAGAGGAGGGGGTAAAAGGAGTAATATCATAAATTAAATAATACTCTCTAATGAAATAGTATTGATGCTAGAGACAGCAATGTAAAATATAAATTTCATATATTATGCATACATTACGATCAATAATATTGTACAAGTATATTACATGATTTGACAATATTAAAAACAAAACGTTTTTACTAATAAAATTATAATATGAGCAAATTAAGGAATTGAACGAACAAAAGTACAAAATATGTTGCAATATATGTACAATTATTACAATAGCATTACGTAGTATTTATAAAAATAAGAGAAAATAGAACAATAATAGTATACAAGAAATTCTACATTGCAAAATATGCACAGAAATAATAAACAATAGTTTTTTAAAAACTATTTGTAAATAAATAACAAATTGATATTGAGAAAACGATATTACAAAATCAGTTTAATATAAGGCTTAATTTTACCTGTATCTAACGATGGTTGCAATTCTTCAGTCAAAGGCGTCTTGGTTTCTGATTTTTGTGCATTTTCGCTTTCTGGCATTGTACTACTGTTACTTCCGTCGAGGTTTAATTGCGGTTCTGGTTGAATAGACTGTTCAGAAGTATTAAATATTGTTTTCTTATTAGAAAGATTAGAAGTATTCTGCGCTACATTTGAAGCAGCAGAGATGCCAATATTTAATGAAACGGCTGTGGAAATATAACCAGTTGACGATCCAGATGTAGACATTGCTGTTGCAAAAGATGTAGGCAGAGTCATAGTTGTTGCAGCATTATCTAAAACTTTCCCGTCATTATTCGAACTCACACGTCGAATTATATCTGGTGTTGAGAAAAGCGCGGGACCTAGAGTATCGCCCGGAGCCTTTCGGTTATCTCTTTTAAGCTTCTTCGCACCTGTAAAAAATGTTTTACAAATATAATTTAATGTGTAAAAAACTCACTTTGATTCGCTCTTAACCGGCAACGAAGTAAAGAAATACTGACTATCTAATGTCTTGATCTCTACAGGTTTCGTGGAATTTTCTTCCCCCTTCAAAATTGATTCTATACTGGTGTCAGATTTTCTTTTTTCCCTCTTTATATCACTAGGCTTGATTTTTATCGGCGTGTTGCTGATCGAAAAAACTGTTTTCGATTGTTGCTGTATTGGCGAGCTTTGGTTTGCACTCTGTTGTTGTGTCATAGATTGTTGTGACGCGAGTTGTTGCGTCAATACTGCCTTTACTGGAGAAACCTGTGTGTTCGAACTCATCGTTTTAGACGCTATTGGTAATTGTAGCAATTTCCCATCTTTGGTCGTAAAAAATTTTGTACCCGCTGGGTTTACAAACTTTTCCTTAGAAATCAATAGGGTCTTTTTAAGCCCAACATTTTTTAATTCATTCGGTTTCATCGGAACTTGTTTTTGAATAAAAGTAACCTTCTGATTGCTTCTTCCTTGACCAGGTTTGGTCAATATCATATCACCTTTAATCATATTGGTATTAATTAAATTTGCTTTCACTTGATTTGTTGTTTGTACTATTTTTTCATATGCTGGTGGCGATTCTTGAAACACAGATGGAGACACTTCTGTAAGCTGCAATTCTTCCTTTTTCTTTCCACAGAGTGTCTTGACTTGTCTCTTATTCTTAGTAGGGCTAAATCTCTCTAATAATTGAAAAAAATAATGTTATTTCCTTCGGCTACAAATATTTTCCAATAAACTAATTACGCACCTGATTTATCGTCTTTTTCAGGCGTTTTCATTGCATTAACGGCAGCAGCCATCTCCATATCCAATCGCCGCACCTGTTCCATATCCAGGTGCTTATTTTGACCTCTCCTTCGACCAGCGGTCATGCTACCACCTCTTGTAGTAAGACCTTTTCGTCCTCCTCGAGCTCTAGCATTATTTCTCTTACGAAGGCCAAAATCTGAATCGTTATCATTATCAGATGGTTCTGATTCCGAAGATTCGGTAGACGATTCTGTGATATCATTTTCTTCTTCTTCCTTGTTATTTTTGACTTGTACTGTAAACATGATTATAATAACACTTTGCCGTTATTATATTATATTAACGTAAATATAGTTGGTATAATTAAAAAATAATTATTGAAATAATACATTTAGTTATTCCTTGTTGAGTATTTGTTATACTTCTCGACATTGAATGCCCTGACAATTTAGGAGTCCCAATAATGCTTGTATTGGCTCTAGAAGGTCCAGTTGTATTTGGTAGTGTAGATACAACTGTTTTACGTACGGATCTATTCATCTGTTTGCTTTGTAATATCTATAATGCAGGAATTAAATAATTAATAACAATATTATTTACTATACAAATATATATATATACATATATGTATGTATGTATGTAATAATTACATTTATATTCTTTGCAGTATTCTTAACCACAACATTGTCCATGTCATTAATGGGTGGTGACATAACAATAGTTCGAGAGGATGATTGATGTATATATTGTATATCATTGGGTTCAGATAAATCATCAATAATTGGTAAAGGATCCCTTGGCACTGGATCGCTAGGTGACAATCTGCTTGTATAACAATGGTCCAGCTGTATATTATATCGCATCGTATTTTGTAACTCTTCTATTGATAACATATCTAAAAAGAATTAATACATACAGAAGTTGCATAGATTAATTATAAAATTAGAAATAAAAAGTAAATTTGCGCAATATCTCCAGCTTTGTATTGATACTAATGATAAAATTTGCAGAAGTTGATAATGTAAATAAAAACTTTTTTATCATTGCAATTATAAGACTGGAATAAAAAAGAACAAAAAAATATATATATATATAAGGTACCAAGCATCGCAGTGACATTTTCTCCAAGGATCTGCTTTGCCTCTTCACTTTGCAGAGCTGTTTCTAATCTTTCCAACTGTTCTGGATCCATCTCCATAAAAGGATCTACCAATCCACCTGGATCGGTATTGACATTCGTGCTTACCGAGCTTGCTGTAGAATGAGCAAATGTCGGTGGATCTACTGTCAAGGTTATATCTCCATTTTCAGTATCTGTATCGGCCTGTCCTAATCTTACTACACTAACATTAGCACTTGATTGATTCACTGAAATAACGATTCAGTTATTATTGCATGTCATGCAATATTATTCATTTATGTCAATCCTTCACAAGATATTATTATGTGTTTTATTTTACCAACTTGCTTGCAATTGCTTACTTATCAAGTTTTGTAGAGTTGCTTGATCAACAGATATTATCCCATCATCATTGACAACAATGATTAATGTATCATCCTTTTTCTCAGAATTGCTTTCCTGGGGCTCAATGACGTATGAACTAGACATTCTGTTTGCCTGAAAAACAAATTATATACTTTCATCTTTTGTTTCCATAAATGATTTTAGTAATGCAATAGATACATCCAGTATTATAATGGACACAGACATAACAGCTTAATGAATAAATGTTATTCTAGATTAATCATGAATCTACTTCAAAGACAAAAATTACAGATTGCTTACTCATTATTGTGTCTGCTGAATGTATCCATTCATTCAAAAGTTTCAATCAAAGTTACAAACAACCTAGATTAATTTACTAATTAATCTAGCATGATTAGTTGAATCGACACTGACAGGGAATGAATTTACTAATTTTGATTCATTAAACGTACAATCAATAAAGTCATAGTATTAGGTTATATGTTTCAATGTATACTGCTATTCAGAATTTATATTTTGTATTTTATAGATTTCCAGTATTGGAAGTGTATAACAGCTTTAGATGATTATATTCAATAAGGTTCTATATTCCAAAATATTCTTTCTGAAAAAAATTTTACTCCCAGTATACAATATAAGTATATTACAATAAGTAAAATTTTTCTCGGAGGGCGTTTTGGAATCTAGCCTAGGGAATGTAAGGTTACAATTACCTGGACGTGTAATTGTACAAATGTTTCCCAAAAGTTTCACGAAATTGACCTCGTTGATTAATAGCATCAAAACGTATGTATTCTTGGACACTGAACGGCCATGTTGATGGAAAGACGTGCTCCCGCATCAAAATCCACCTATCCACGCTGCAGTCCGCAGTCGTGAAACCGAGCAATCACTAACACTACAACGATACCGTTCTTCTGTACATAAAAAAGAAGCGGAAATGAAGTATTTGGTGATTGGAAATATCGTGATTGAGTGGAATGTCGTTATATCACTTTACGTTGCCGAGACGTGCAGCGAGTAACGAAAGCGGCAGCGAGGAATCAATAAGCATGCCTCAAATCGTCTTCCTAGCAAGTAAACAATGGTACGATACCGCCAAACGCTATCGAGCGAACGGCCATTTTGTTTGACCTGCGTTTGATATCGATGGTCGGTTGTAGCCGTCCTGTTGTAGCTTACTCGTTGTGTTCCTTCGCCGTCAACTCATTTCTCGCGAATGAATCCTCGATATAATTTCCTTATGATGACGATACAATGTCCTTATACAAAAGCCTTTCGCTCAAAGTTCAACATTCAATGATTTACCGCATCATCCGTCGGATGGGTCGATTACGCAGCCATATACGTACATATGCATGACATATACATTGTGCGCCGTGCATTGCGCAATAAGGAGATCGATTGAAATGAAGTGAAAAATTAACAATACACTAAAATATTTCATTAGTTAACCAGCTAATGTGCTCACTTCTATAATTTTCACCTCGTTTCAAGATGTTTCAAGATACACTCTATTGATCACAATGGTTACACCGTTCAGTTTGGACACTTTCAGCGTTCCTGTCCTTGTTTTAAGGTCCGTCTACAATACACCTAGGCTGTGTTCCACTTAACGCTCGCAACGCTCGTGAGCATCGTTTGTCCTTGTTTAACATTTGATAAACGACAAGGATGAAATGATTCCACGAGCATTGTGAGCGTTAAGTGGAACGCAGCCCTAGTAAGCTTGGTTTAAGGGTACCGTCACATATGCTGGATTCACACTGCATCCGATTCGTCGTACGACGTTCTGCATCCAATCAGAAAACAGGATTCCGATAATACGAAGCAAAATTCATCGGAATCCTGTTTTCTGA